CAAGGGCTCTGACAAAAACGTTCTTTAAATGCTTTTAAATTATTTCAATGGCAAATCGCTTTTGAAAATGACCGATACCGATAACCATAAAAATGCTTTATAGCGGTGCCGATAATAGTTCGATCCCTACTTATGACACATCACTCCATGCCATAATTTATTATAAAGTCCAAAAATGTACCCAAAATGCACTTAAATAGTGATCTGAATCCACTTTTAGCGTAAAAGCAGGTGTAAATGGAAAAGTAACTGGGTTCTATTTCTCTTTTGCTAACTGAAAGAGGTCTGAGTTTGGTAAAGAGCTGCTAAATATGGGATAAAAATGTCTTAAGGATTTCATAATTCAAGGCATCATTTGATAGTTTGTTTTTGCATACACTGTTTATCATATCACAATGGGCCATTGTGCAGCCTAGACAAAGAGATGGGTTATGAACCTGTCAAATCTTTCTGTAACTGTCTCTCTTTTAGATCCCTATCTTCCCTGAAGATCTCTTCTTTAGCACAGATGTAAAGGAAGAAATTAAGGAACTGGAGAATATTACAAGCTCTCAGGGGCTGGTGAGTGGGTCACTGATTTTTTTTACATTTAACTTTTTCCTTTAAGGAGGGAAAGAAGTGTTTTATTTATCTTTCCTTTTTTCTGATTTCGCAATGTGTATAATACTGTATTTTACTTTTCAGGACACCCTCCCATTAGTGGACCAACAGCTTCTCTACACTTGCTGTCCATATTTAGGTGAGAGTGAACTGTTTGGGAAAAAATGTGGCTTAAAATTATGTATTTTACCAAGCTTCGGTTGGAATAGATTCCAGTTGAGGGTGATTGATGTATCTTTATGTCATTCTTTTGGCAGGCGAGTTTCGTAAACTTCTTGCTGCTTTCGTGGCTGGTAGTACATCCAAGAGCGGAGGCTTAATTCGCAAGATCACCCCCACGTCTGCAGAACTGAGGGGACCTTCCACCACCCGTTCACAGCAGAAACTTCAGGTGTGCTGCCAGCAAAATGCTTTCCATCTGTAGAAGAATTAAGGGCATGTCGTCCATGTGTGGGTGTTCATGTTTTTCCATAGGTTGACCTGGAACATGCCTTCTTTCACAACCAGCCCCCATCTCTCAGACGGACTGTAGAGTTTGTTGCTGAGAGAGTCGGTTCCAACTGCGTCAAACACATCAAGTCAGTCTCTCACCATTTAGTCAGTTTTATGGCTTTTTCTGTATGTTAGTCTGTGTAAATCAATTAAGATTTGCTTTTCATCATTTC